TAGGGAGTAGGCTTTAGGGTTTAGGGGTTTGGGTTTAAGGGTTTAGGGGTTCAGGGTTTAAGGGTTCCGTTTAAGGTCTATTCTTTTGACAGTCAGTTGGTTCAACTGCTCGAGTTGCGGGCTTCAGGGTTTGGGGTTTAGGGTTTAGGGTTTAGGGTTTAGGGTTTAGGGTTTAGGGTTTGGGGTTTGAGAGGACACTGCACTGAACTTGATAAAGGTGTGACGGCCTCGCAACCTTGGCGTAGTTTGGGATTTAGAGTTCAAGGGTGTGAGGGATGTAGGCTGTCCCATGTAGCAGCTTAGCAGAGCTTTTGCCCATTCTCGTTACACTTCGCCCTGCATGGCCCGAATATCAGCATTTCTTGCCCATTTCTCGCTCAATCACCCTATGGCGGCATCATCGCGGTGATGACATCACTATTGGCATCATCACCATCACTATCATCATCGCGAGGAGTAGCTTCGTCTGTTCAAAAGTCGCATGAAGTGAGAGCAGTCGTCATGCCGAGGTGTTGTCCACAAGACAGCTTTTGCGATGCATGTTCATGCATCACTTGAGACACAGGGTATGTTGAAGGGTACTTTGCGGATGTTGCGAAGCCAGAATATGAGGCGTTACAGATAAATCCCAGGGCTCTTCCAGCGGTTCCTGGCATCAAAGTTTGAACCTGACAAGCCTTTTTTCTCAGACTCTACAGCTGCTTCGCCAGGACCTCATACCAGAGCTGCTGCCTCAGCCATCGAATCCCAGATCCTGAAGCCCGACAAATACCCAAGAATTACTAAGACTTTCTGAGGGTTTAGGGTTTAGGGTTTAGGAAGAATTACTCAGACTTGCTACTCTACGAGTTTCCGGTGTTATGGATCGGGATGCATGAGTCAGGGCTGCCTGGCTTGAGGTGGATGATCTCTTTTCAAGTTGGTTGAAACGAAAAGCAAAAACTCCTGTAGCCTTACATAACCTCTACGGTACAAAACGGCCTTTTGCTGTGCCCAATCGTTAAACTCCAAGCTTTCAAACCTGTCATCAGGCTCAGAGGAATCAGCGCATGCTGGAAGCCCAAACCGCGAACGGAAACCTGCAACCCGATGCCAGCATTGAAGGGGTGCCTAAAATATCCTTCTGCCGATTTAGCGAGCACTACTAAAAGGATCACGGGACTTAGTAAGTAAGGTTATAAGTCCCTTAATTGGGGATATGAGTATAGTTACCCTAATTATAACACTACTTAGTAAGTCCCATGATCCTTTAAGTACGGTCCTAATCTTACTACAAAACAGCCCCCCTTGAACACCGAAGGCCCAGGTACGTACGGACCCTTGGACCCAAGGAGCACTGAGTTGCTGCTCGGTAACTATCCCAAAGCCCTATACGTATACACTCTGCTTAAAATGTGCGGCGGCTTAACCCTAGACCCTGATGTGCCCGAAATCTTGAAGCGCCAAACCCGAAACCCGAAGGCGTTTGGTTCTTCGGAGCTTCACTTAGGACAAGAGCTTCATTTAGGACAACCCAGTACGCAGCCCTCATGCTTCAAAAACCGAAGAAGTTGGTGTAAGGTTGGCGTGCTATTAGCGGCTTATAGGCCCTGGGCAACGCCAAGGTGTCGAAATTTCGGATTTTTCCTCCTGAACAAGGACATGGGGTCTCTTGGTGGAATTTGCTCCACTCTGCGTCACGGTGGAAGACCCTAAACCCTAAACCCTA